AGGGCGATCAAACCTTTGGACTCAGGTGTGGCCGATAGCTCGCCGAAGCCCTTGCGCTCCGCTTCGTAGCCTGCATCGGAGCCCTTGTCCACGCCAGCGCGAATCACATCGAGGATCTGTTGAGGCGAGTGAAGCCACAGTTAGCCATGACAATGAGAATGAGGATTATATTTGTTTCACCTTCAGGGGAGCGGGATAGAGACCGTTCGAGGCCCTCATCACCTGCTTCCGGGCAGTGTCAAAGATCTTGTTCTTCACAAATTCAGTGTCCATGACCAGGGATGTAAGTTTGTTGACCAGCCCAGTCTTCTCGCGATTCACCTAAACACGACCACACGTTACACGATTATATAATTATATCAGAATGGGAAAGACGGGAGCACAGCTTACGCGAAGTTTTCCGCTGGCCAAATCCTTGGCCACCTCCACGGCAGTCTTCTCCAGGTACTCGATGGTATTCTGTTCGGCGGGCTGTAGGCCAGGACCGAGGGGATCCACCAGCAGATCGACAATGCCCAGGCGCTTGGCCCTGTCGGCACGCACCTGCTTGCCGGTCAGCTCCATGTCCAGTGCAGTGGGCACCGAGGTGAGCTTGGGCAGACGCACAGTGCCGCCCCCGCCGGGCAGAAGACCCAGCATAACCTCAGGCAGGCCCAGCTTGGTCTTGCTGTCCTTGGTGGCGATGCGGTAGTGGCAGGCGAGGGCCAGCTCCAGGCCTCCGCCCAGGCACACGCCATTGATAGCAGCCACGATGGGCTTGCGACTGCGCTCCATGCGGTCGAACATTATCTGGGCGCCGTGCGAGATGAGTGAGGCCTCCTCCGCTGTCTGGCAGGCTTCAAGCATGCCAATGTCGGCGCCGGCCACAAAGCATCCGGGCTTGCCGGAGATGAGGACGGCCGAGTTGACGGCAGGATTCGTCTCGAGATCCTTGATCACACGCTCGAACTCATCGCTCACTTCGCTGCCCAGCGAATTGACCTTCGCGTTGGGCGAATCGAACCTGATGACCAGCACTCCATTGACCACTTTCGTGTGCAGATGCTTGTTGGCCCCCGCATTGGCCGTGGCCGGAGCGGGATTTGTGGACATTAGACGGTGACGCTGGAGCAGGGCCGTGGCGGGGAGGGCTGCAAAGGGGTGAACAGAGCAGAGAATCAAATGGCTGCTGGCATTATCGTCACACAGCACAGTTCGCATAAGCGGCCCCCTCAACAGACACAGACATGCACGCACACACACGTACAATCAGCTACGTCAAGGGAGAGCGAGTACAAAGTTCAAAGTCCAGTTATGCGGATCTTCGACGGGCAGCAGCAGCAGCAGCAGCAGCTCTTTCCTCTCTCTCTCCCCTTCTGGTGTTTCTTACAGTCGCTTTGGGGCTTCTCCTCTTACATTTATTATTCATGGCCGATCTGGAATCGGTGTAGCCTACCTCTGCTGCACCTATTCTGCAACAATTGCTGTCGCGTTATTTGGCCGACGGCACTCAGGAATCTCGTTGCCGACATTGAACAGCCTTCTCTCGTATTGTGGTCGCTGGTGTTTCTCTCGATTGCTTCACTTTATGCTTAATTATTTCGTGTTGGCACTGCACTTTACACTTCCACCGTTATTTGTGTAGAAACGCTTATGCGGCCAGTTCAATTTTTTTTTATGCGGCGATTTACTTGTTGCATATAGTGCTAGAGCTGGCAAATAATCGATTAAAACATCGATGGATTCTTGATTTGGAAATCGAATTTGAACGCGAATTTGAGTGATGTAAAAGGCTTGAATAAAATGTACGGGCGTTGAGATGTTTCAGACGGAAATTATTCGACACTGCAAAAATGTTATTTCGCTTCAACCTCTTTTTCTGACGCCATAACAGCACACCTTAACGATTTAAAATTTCATCTCGGGTACTTATTATTTTGACCAGCCCAAGTTCATCCAGAACAATTTAAAGCTTAGAATATAATAAAGATGGTTTCTCTCTTTAATTTTGGACTTAAATGATTTTTAAGACTCTACGCTTTAAAAACATAAACAATTGGCAGCAATGCATTCAAGATATTTTATAAAAAATTTGCTCTGAGCCTATGTACTCTGAGCCTGTGTACTAATAATTTATTTTCAAATGCGGTCAGGGAAATACTCTCTTGCAACTAAACAATTGGAGTAAGACCGCGTATTTATCGATTAAATATACCACACGACCCTTATGAATATACCGAAATATACCTTATCCTTTTCAAAAAATGCCGCCAATATTTTCTGCATGATTTCGTTGAGATACATTTAAATCACTGACTGACTTGTTTTTTTTTGCATTGATTCTAGACCGCAAGGGTACTAAATGTTGCCATACATTTTGCAGCATGTTGCTGGCCCATACAATTGATGTTGCCAAAGGTATGGAATTGGTCGTAAGTGGGGATAGAATAAAAACACAATAATTGATTTTAATTTTCAGTTTACATTAAATGCACTACATTTTTGCAAATCTCTTCAAACATGAATTCTTCGCCGCTAGGCAGATCAATTAAATCTGTATTATGGCAGATTATGTAAAATTAAAAGTATTATTACAGTTTATGGCATCTCTGCCGCTAACATAACCCGATAACCATAACAGTGCCACTAACAGCACTTTCGCCCAACTGCACAGCAAATATAACACCGGTTTTAACAGCTGAAATCAAAATTTAAAATGTAAAACAAATATAAGTTTTTTGTTTCCACGTGCCCGTGTTTCGTTTATTAAAGATTTAATTTACAGGCTAACAGAGGAACTATGCAGAGTTTTGCATGGGAAACTTCGTGCCATTCGCAAAGGCTAAGAGGGTTAGGCGAGGTGAGATCCCCTGCCTGGGGGATGCAATAAGTGCATTCAATCTTGAGAAAACCTGCGAGCAGAGACATAAACTCTACCTCATCCAGCTGGAGGAGGGAAAAGAGAAAGATCTCTGTGATAACCTGGAGGACGATGATCGGGCACCGTGCCTCAAGATGCAGCAAGATTCTGTCCTGGAATGCTTTGACAGATATTCTCGCTACTGCTGCTGCTGCTATTGCTCTCATTGTTTGCAAGGACATTTTTCACGGTGACCCACCCCGACCGACGACGACAGATACCGAAACCAAAGTGCAATAAACAGACCGGCAGGACGATCAAGCGACCGCACAATTTGCGGGACACGCATGTCACTGGCATTTTTCAGGTCGTTTGCTCGGACGCGAGGGCCAAGGGGGGAAGAATCATTGAAGCCGCATTAAACGCGCCTCATTTGTTGCAAGATGCGTTGGGTTAGCGCTCGCTGCCTTTGTGTCCTTTGAAGTGGACACTCCTAAATAGGTTCAAATGAGATTTTGCCACATTGTCGGGCACTGCTTTATTGTGGCAACACTCGGGGCAAGGCCTTTGACGTTGACGTTTTTATGTGGCACGTATTACTCCGTACTCCGCACTCCGTACTCGTATAAAGTAAATAGTTAATCGTTTTTTCCCCCGTAGCTCCGCAGCTGCGGCTTCTGCTGATCCTCTGATCCACCAATCAAGTGTGAAGAGTCACAAAAAGTCACACTCTTGAGTTCAACTGTCATTCAATTTGGATTCGAATGCTGGTAGCAGAGCAGAGCTGACCTCTGAATATCAATCAGCGGAATGGCCAATGCCAGCTGATAAACAAAGTTTACTGAACCAAGAAAATAGACGACAGACAGGAAAGTTCTAGCAGCAATTGCGAATATTCCACTCCTGTCCACTCATCGCTGTCCAATAAAATTATATTACAAATTCAATTCTCATTTTCCCGATTTGCCATTGCCGCTGATCCACCAGCAATCAAGGGTCGCGGGTCACGGGTCGCGACAAAAGGCTGAGCTGAGCTCCTGTCAAGCGCCACTCCGTTATTTAGATTTCTTTTTTTTTGTTAAACCGATTATAAATAATTAAAATTATAAAAAAGGTCGATTGCCTGTAGATTGAAGAGGGTGAGGGGAAGGGGTTGTACTCTCGAGAGCTCAACCCTAATGGGGGTTTGAGAGCGACCATAAACAAAACGCCCATTAGTTGTCATGTTTGGGAAAAAACAAAAAAAAAAAGCCGTGCGTGGCACTGGCAGGCGGACGCGTGCGACCTTCAAGGATATTCGCACACTCACTCCGAAGGAGAACAGAGATACGGTCACAGGAGTGGAATGACTTTGTTTCAAAATTGTATTTGCATATACCCTTCGCTTGAGCCCTGCGCCAAATGAAAACATTTAAAATGTTTTGATTTCATTTATGGTAATTTCCAGCCATAAATCAGTGCACAGAGAACAGAGAGCGTGTGCTTCCTGTCGAGGCAGGCAGCACTCTCCTCCGTGTGTGTTTGATTAGCCCTGAATGCTAATGAAGTCGGGCGGAGGAAGAGGAGTCACAGTCTGCCGCTGACTTCTGGCGTTGCACATTTTGTGTAATCCTGCAGAGGGTGCTGGCGCATGTGAGGGGAAAGGTACGAGCGATTTGAGTATTATGCAAATTTATTGACGCTGATCCCATTGTCCGCCGGTGTAATTCAATATGCGCGTGAATGACTGAATGAATGCATGAATCCTTTTGCCAAAATGCCAGACATTTGCCAGGGTTGAGGTATCACTCGCCAAAATATTCGCAAACTCATTTCAAATGCAGGATCCAGAGGATACGGTTACGGCAATTTGTTAATGCTGATTTTTGCACACTAATGGAGATCTCTTCCATCTTCCAGTTGAGTTTTGGGGTTAGATGCGATTACATGCAAATATTAGCACTCTGGAGAGGTGAGCAAATCCAAGAGGGTAAACCCAAACAAATAGTTAATTAATGCTGAATAGATTAAGCCAGAATGTAAGCACTGGAATCGATTCTCAATGGGCCATGGGTTTGTTGTAGAATATCCCAATAAGTATTTAGTATTTGCTTCAAAGTGAAAACTTTTGCCATCTCTAGTCCACCACTCAATCAATAAATCAATCTCCATAGAAAGTATATCCAGGTAGTCTCAAAAGTATTTAATTACTACGCAAAAAGGGCTCATGCGAGCGTACAATAAATAGGTGGGCGATGTCGCTCAATATCCTTAATATCCTTAATAATTCAAACATATATTTATCTAAGAGATACTTATGCACGGAGTGTACTTAGAGATGCAGTTGCTTAGGCTTAAACTTTGGAGTAGCTCTGGGATGGGGGCGTACATTTACAGCACATAATAATAGAACCAACAAACAGAGGGGAGGAATGGTTGAAAGCAAATCAGTTACAGACTAGAAGAACAACACTTGAGTGGAGAGATCGGGGGGATCGGGGACTTCCTCTAGCAATAGACGGGATCCGTTGTCGCTGTTCCCGCTGCTGCTCCTCCTGAGCTCGTATGATACGCACTCGCGGCGTCCATTTGGATGTTCCACACGTTGTCCACTCCCGTGTTGCTGTAGTAGTAGTCCGCTGCAGCGTCCTGCTGCTGCTGCTGGTAGTTCGTGTGCTGGTAGGCGGCTGCCTCGTCGTAGAACAACTCAACCGTAGAGGGGCCACCACCATTCAATGTGGACTCGAAGACACTGAAGATTTCGGAGCTGGTCGTGTAGAAGCTATCCTGGGCAGATGGATTGTGGCCGTTTGTTCCTGCTCCTCCGCTGATATCCAGGGATCCAGATGCAGGCAGCTGATAGCCATTCAAGTAGCTGTAATCCTCGGAACTGTAGCCGGAACTGCTGCTGCTGGTGAGGCTGGAGGTGTCGTCGCAGCTCTCGTACAGCGGCATGCCACACGGGTAGCTGGCGTTCATCGGTGGCTCGTAGCTGGCATTCATCGTCTCCTGAACAGAAGGAAGCTGCAGCTGCTGCTGCTGCTGCTGCTGGTGAAGCTGTTGCTGCTGGAGGCTCTCCTGGTAGTAGCTGGCGTTGGAGCTGTGCGAGGAGAGTGGCGAGTGCAGCATGCCGTAGCCACTGTACATTCCATTGTCGTAGGCGCCGGCTCCTGCCTCCTGCTGTCCGTAGGCCGGGTACAAATCCCCGCCACTCCATTGGCTTCCATTGGTCGCTGGATAGCCGCTCTGCTGGGCATTGTAGTTCGACGAGGGAATGTGGTGGGGTGTGGATGTGGACAGATAGGCTGCTGCTGCGGCGGAAGCTGTGGCTCCCTGGAGCTCTGCCTGACTGGGTGGTTGCGGCAGCTCCATTCTCTTCCGCTTGCTGCCTGCCTCCTGAGGCAGCTGTGTTTTGGCCTGTCGCTTGCTGGGCCGCAGGCTGCAGAGCTTGTCGCTGAGTGCCGCATCCCGGGCCAGCATCACGGCCAGGCTGCGGACGCGTCTGCCGCCGGCGAGCAGGCGTCGCGCCCCTGTGGAGCCCTTGGCCTCTGGCCGCGGATGATCGTGTGTGCCCTTCGCCTGGAAGTAGACCCCATTGCCGTCCCGACGCCAAAAGTGCGTGACGGGGTAGCCGCAGTGGCCGCGGCAGGCCTGGATCTCCAGTCTTCCATTGCAGTTTCTGCAACAAAAAGAAACAAATCTTGTATTAGCATCTGGCATTCAATGGGGAGGACTCTCCATGGACTTACCTATTGGGACACTGTTTTCCCTGCTGCTTGCGCCTCGCCTTGTCGCAGATGGCGGGCCGCAGGTGCACGCTGGCTCCGTTCGGCAGCTTGCACTTGGCGCTGCACAGGAGCACTCCGAGGCAGCTCTTCTTCAGGATGTTCACGTTGTGGTTGTTGGTGTTGCGCATGGCCCAGCCGCTGGCATGCTTCCTGGCCTCGTCGCTCTGCAGTCCGTAGATGAGGCGACAGTGGCCATTCGCCCAGTCGCTGAACTCGTCAAACTCCGTCACCGTTGGCATCTTTGAGTCGTTGATGTCCCAGTCGATCTGGACACGGGATGTGGTAGCCGGAGGACTGGCCTCTGGCACCGGCACTGCCACAGGCATAGGAATGGGCATGGCCATGGGCATACCGGGCATTCCGTTCAAGACCATTTTGTTGTTGTTTTTGGACTTGGTTTCTTTCACTCTTTGAATTGTTCTTCACTTTAATTCTCGTATTGAATTTCTCTTTACACTTTTTCTCTCTGCTTTTCTTTGAGCGTGGCGCGACGTGGACGTCCGTTCGCAACGACTGCGCAAGATTGACTGTTGGAACCTGGTCCGCGCACTGAAGTTAAGTTCCCTTTGGCCGAAGCAGCGACAGCAAGCGGCAGGCAGGGGTGGTTTCACGTTTCGTGCTGCTATTGGCTGCCGTTTATCCGTTTCTATCCGCACTTATCCGACACACACATGCACACTGGACCGCAGCAAACTGGAATGACTATGTGGGTCCACTTCGGAGTGCCTTTGATTGGGCGACGGTAGCCTGCAGCTGGCGATGGAGAATGGAGCTGCTGCAGTTGGGAGCAGAGCAGGGCAGGGGGGGAGTAACGAGTGGTTCTGCCCTGCTCTAGCACCTGCGGAGTCGAGTGCAGCAGCACGCGCGCGCCTGTTCCCCTGGAAGCGTGCGCTCCACTGGATAATTTCATGATGCGAGCTCCACAGTACCCCCACAGTCTCCCTACTCCAGGCCAAAGCCAGAGTCAAAGCTAATTAAGTTTCAGTTCGAAAAAAAACACACATAAAGAGTTCAACAATGACTGTGGGGAGGAGAGGGAAATGGGACTGCTGTGTGTACTGGGGATTTGGGGGGCACACACCTGGCGACAGATGCCACTGGCAGCAGCGTTGGGGCAGAAGAAAATGAGTGCCGGAGGCACAACAAAATGGAGTTCCAGATGCTGGATATAGAAACTAACGGCACTACTTCTCACGATCTACAGAGAGCGATAGCGAACATAAAATTAAACGCTTGCAAAATATAAAAAAAAACGAAACAGAAACACAAATCACCGTATGGGGACGCTATCTCTATGGAGAGATCGGTGGAAGATCGTAAAACACACAATTTAGCACGCAAAATAAAAAAACGAAAGGACACGGACCAGTAGCAACCCTTAGGACTAGGAATGAAGCCAAAAGGATGCAAAGCAAAGGAATTCCTTCAGCCACGATCTCAAGTCAAAGATAAAGCAAACAAATACAATCATTAAGGATAAGAGGGAGAGGGGGAGATGGAGATGGAGATGGAGAGGAAGTCCCGGTGCGGAAGGGTAATGGGCTAAGGAAACTCCGTAATTTTCACACTTCCGACACAACCGACCACCGAAAGCCATGCAATTATGACACGAACAAGAATGAGCAGCCATCCCGCGGTGCGTCGCTCGTTTTCTTGGGAGATCGGACGCTCGTAGCACGCGATAGCATAAGCAGCATCAAAGGCAAACCAAAAAGGATTACATCCCAACCGATACGATGCCGAAAAAGGGTGCGCCTGAGGGGCGTTGACACGAAGGAAAGTCATGACGTTGCATTAATGCTCGAGAGAAGGCGCAGGGGAGAAAGCGCTCTACCTGGCCTCAGTCTCTGCCTCTGCCTGGTGGGTGTGTCCCCGTTAATGATGACCGAAAATTAACTTCGTTTATTCGTTTCAATTACGAGATCACTTTCCAATCAAATTTATTTGACACTCGCCCCGCGGGGGCCACATCCGCAGAGCAGAACTCTTTTGCTCCATTTCAATTTCGCGTCTAAGCATTTCCACGATTAGTTGTGAATGTGGCCATAAAATTGAACCAAAACTTGGGCATAAATGTCATCGTAAATTGAATGTTGACTTACCCCACCAGTCCGCAGAGTGTCTGTGTCTGTGGCTCAATCTGTGTCTGCGGTTTCGTGGGAAGGTTACGCCCATAGGAAGCAGCAGCCTCTGGGCCTCTGAAGGGATTTCGAAAACGGATTAGAAAGAGTGTCACGAGTGATGAGCATATGGTATGGTGAAGAACCAGACATGTGAGAGAATATACCATGAGATCTTTAAGCAGAGAAAAACTGTCGATCTGTTGGCATATTTTGCAGCTTTAACAGCCAAATCGTCCAATCTTTCAGTTCATTGCATCGAGAAGTGCCTGCTTTGACTCTCTCTCTCTCTTGGGACAATAGAAAGTTGCATTATGATTTCACCAGCTTCCACCCCGGAAGGAAGCTTATCAACCAGTGCACATCTCGGGATAACAATTCGCAGCTAATTAACTGGAACTTCCTGCATATAATCGGAGGGAGAGAGAGAGTTTTGGCCGCAATTCAAACCGCATATAGGAGGAAATTATTCCAACGACTAACGAGGAGAGGCACAGTCGCAGGAAAATCCTAATGCCAGCGAGATCCGTGCCGTCAGATAAGGCCAATGATCGCAGGATCATGGCAGGATGGATGGTAAATGATTTAAAGCCAAGCCTCATAATTTCTCATTGTTCAACGGGCGAGCATTGGACATTTCCACAAACTGATAAATGAAACAGAAAACAACATAAACGACAACAGCTTCGAGTGAGAGTCCGTCCCAGAGAGATCGAGTCAAAGCGATAATACGATTCACACTCTGCATGGGTCCCGTCCGTCCCGAGGAGCGCCGCCGCTGCCGCCGTTGCGATTGGAGTGTCCTGCGGCGAGGGAGATCGTGGGCCTGCGATAGCGGATTGGACCCGGAAAATGAGAAAATTGAAATGTTGCCAGCAAAAGGGGGAGAGAGAACCTAAACGCACTCGGACATTTGGGAACTCAACTCAATTCCACAGACAAGTTGATCGTTTGACCGCTTGTCCGTTCGGTTGTCCGTTCGCTAAGTAGCTCTCTGGGACTCTCCCTCTCCCTTTCCCTCTCTAATCTGTCCAAACAAACGCAGGTCGTGGGTCAAATTCAGGTGCCCAGGGGTCAGGTGTGGTGGTCTCTTCTTGTGGTCTGTCTCTCTTGTTTAGGTTCATGTTCATGTTAATGCTCATGTTAATGGGCTTACATCAACAAAATATTTATCTTTGCACTGCATTCCATTGTCCGTGGTCCTTTCTGATCCTTTTGGCATCGAGGAACAATCGATTATGAGAGAGACTGAAGGATTACACAAGCCAGCACAAATATTTTCATATTTTTCCCACGTCTCAATCATTTTTTGCTCCATTATATTTGCATTTGTGTTTTGCGTTTGTTTTGTGTGTTGTGGAAATTTGTGGAAATTATGGCATTGAATTACATGCGAGATATTTAGAGGAGAATCTCTGCTCTCTCCCACACCCCATCGATGCTGGGAGATCCGTGAGATACCCGCATGGCATACCATTCGCAGCATGTTTCACAGCGCGTGGCATTTCGTGTGGCATTTAAACCAAAATTCTCTTCCGAGAATCCTAGCCGAAAAGTTGCAGATCTTTGATGCTCCCTCAATCCCTCAATCAAGGCTTTGGAAAATGGAAAATGTATCGCTCGCTGGACGGTCACATTTCACACCGTAAAAAACACCGCAGATTATTCACACTTGCCACACGGTGCATGGAGCACGGACTAGGACAAAGCGATTCGTGCCACGCAATAAAATGTAATTAGCAAAAACTCTCGAGGAAACCAGGAATAAAAAACCCAAACTGTTCAAATTTCAGGTACTTCAGAGCCAATACAAAAATTCAATAAAAAAACACACGACAATCCGACACGGCGACGACACTTTAGACCAAACAAAGACGCCCTGTTTGCAAAGGACACAAAGGACACACGACGCACACCCCTCGATTTCCACCCGATGCTGGGTCCCAGGGTACCAGAGGAGAACGATCCTCAAAGATCTAATGCTTATTCAAGCGCAAAGGGCGGGTGCAAGAGAAAGAGACTTGCGCAGAACAATTCAGAAATTGTTTAAAATTTTTGCAATTTTAAAAAATCAAATGGCAAATGGCAAAAAGTGGCAAGAGTTCCGCCAGAACTGGTCGTGCGCCGCGTGTCGAATGCTGTCAATATTTCCGGTGTGTCTAATGACAAACGCATGTTTACACGAGTGCGAACACATCCGGCGATTGCCTCTGATTGCGGAGGCTGGAGAGACCAGGAGACCATTTCACGGGCATCAAAGGATTCCACCCATCCATCCACCCATCGAAGCGGCAATTAAATGGATTTGCTCAAGCGTTTTGGCTTTATTTGAAACGGCAATTTATAAATGATGTGCACAGCAGTGCATTTGCACCCTTCCTCCTGTCATTGGATGATGAACGATTCTTTAAAATCCTTTACTGAGTTACTGAATGTTTAAATAGACCGTTTAGAGTCCCAAAAATATCTAACTCTAGTCCAGCAGCGCTCAGAGTGGTGTATCGTTGTCGTGTCTGCCTTACAAAAAGTTTATTCAACTGCATTTGAATGTCAATTAGCTTAAATGGACTAGTTTTGACTATTACCATAGCGAGAGAACTATTAACACGAACACGAACACCACACACACACAGAGGGCAAAACACCATTCCATTCCATTACCAATTAAGGGGCAGTCAGGAGATGGAGCTGGAGAGATCCATAGCATTAGAAGTGGCAGTGGCAGTGGCAGTGGCAGAGTGCATTCACCTCTCTCTCCCTCAGTAGCATCATGCATTTGCATTTGCTACATTTTGGGACTGCTGCGTCCGACTGGCATTGGAATTGAAATTTGGGATTTTGTGCCTTCGATTGAAGCGACACAGAAAAACTCCGTCGCACTCAATTTAATTTAATAAAATTTCATCTGCAGCAGCAAAGTTCCGTTCAGGCTTCGGGGTTTTTGGGTTCTACAACTATTTTCGGGGTGCCTGTTGGGCCCTTGTGTAATTATTAATAATACAATAATTCCCTGCTCCGACGATTGTTGTTTTGTGTGCACATAAAACGCACTCGTAAACAAAATGGCTGCAAAGTTGTGTTTATTCAGATACGAGGAGGCGCACATAACTTCAATTAATCTCAATTAAGTGGCAAATATTCCTAGGGAGTTCATTCCACCAACGTCTGTCCAACTTTGATGGAAAGTTTCACTTCATTCCCTTTCCCTTAGCCCTTTTTTTCGAGTTTCGAGTTTGAGTTTTGTTTACTGAAATTTTGGGGGTAGATCTACCGCCAATTGAGGGAGGGTTCCGCCTTGGGCCTTGGGCACATCAATTCTTATTGTAGAACTCCCATCCCCGAGAAGGAGGAGTTGCATTTATTGGCGTGTTAGCGCCATAAAATATGTTCGTACTTTGTGGAGCTATTAAAAGAAAAGAATCGTCATAAATTCATTGAT